CATTTCTACACAAAAACAAATGTTGCTACTATGCTCAGCGTAGTCGATTACCTATAGTCCATGGCATTTTGAGATTCCCAGAGATATCTGCTCGGAGATAGACACGTGCTCGGGGAAAGCGAGCCCTGCCCAAACGACGATAGCTAGAGAGCTGGCAATTGCATACTTTTGTAGAGTAACGTCCGAACTATCTACGCATACAAAAAAATTACTAACATTGTATGTTAGTTTTCTGACAACGGAGCTGGTTTTCCAAAGATACTCTGAAAATCCGATCTCTGGAATTTTTTCAAAAGTTGCTTCCGCTTGTGAAAAGTTCTGCGCAAGTCTTGGCTATTGAACAGCGAAAATCGCCGGTCTCTATCTCATTCCTATCAAAAGTTATTCAAAAAATGCCCACGGGTCTTGTATTTTGGGATAGATAGTAGACTATATTCAAGAAGTTTAACACAAAAAAAATTAAATCATTTGGTTTTCAATCCATGTGAAACAGTCATATACATATAATTAAACTGAAAGAAAAACAAAACAAATATCAAACAGATTACAATTATGATAGTCTCTTTCAGAAGATTTTATAATTCGGTCGTGTTTATTTCTCTCTTTTGATTTTTGCTAATTTTTACCCTTATTTTTGTACAATTTGTATATAATGAAGTAAACACAAGTGTCACTTGTTTATTTTCTCCCATTAGAAACTATTTATGTCAGATATTTATAAATCTTGATTGCATAGAAGGAGTGTAATCTTTCTCTGTAAAAAAAAACAATAATATATTTTTCGCCTCTTAACTTAGCAGTGAACTCGCTACACGTTTTCCTTTATTCTTTTCTTCTATGCATGTGCGTCTATTTTTCCACTGATTATTTTAATCTAATTAATGAATAGATTCTACTTGTTATATCCTGGAATGCAATATTTATGCACTTTTTTTTGTTGCGAATAACTATTTCACATTATTATAAAGAATAATTTTCGGTTACTTTTTCTAATATAACTTTTCTCTAAATTTGTATAAAAAACGCTGAAAACAAAAGATGACCATCGTACAACGATGAACATTGACAAATATTCCCTTTATAGAATTTCAGGTGTATTTCCGTGAATCTACCCAAATAAAAAAATACTTTTTGGATGAAGAAAACGGATTTTGTGTTAATTGAAAAGAAGTCGGAAATGTTTTGATAGTCCTATCCTATCGAACAGAATCAAACATTGATGTTTTCAAAAAATATTTAGCTTTCCTCTCTGGTGGTATTGCAAAGCTCGTTTCAATATGGCTACGATTCGGCTCGTCTCTCAGCGAACTATTTACGCTCTCTGTGAGATCAGAAACGTATCTCGGTATCTCCTATGTTAAAAAAGAGCATGATATCCTTGTCTGTAATCAGAAACGTACTTTAGTCTAGAAAACCAAAATGACTCGATAAACAGGTTATTAATAATTGTGAATATTGTTAACTACTATAGAAAGATCAGGTCAGTCGGTCTCACGCAATAAATGTAAAAAGACGCAATTAAACTGTTTCGCAAAAACCCAAGCATAAACGACCCAATTTTTTGGGTTATTTATCTAGATTCAGTTCCACGTGCATCTAGATGTACGTGGAGTTGAATCTAGATAAATAACCCAAAAAATTGGGTCGTTTTTGCTTGGGTAGTATACGTAAAAATTAGAGTCGATTAATAGATGAAAACAGTAATTTAATGATTAGATGAGCAAAAGTTGAATTACCCCATAACATGAAACGACCAAAAAAATATGACAGTACACACAAAAAACAGCAGAACACAAAAAATCTAATAACAACGTTTTTAATGTTTTGTAAACAATAACGTGACCATAGTGTTACTATTTCCACGCTGGTATCGTATCCTCTAGATGACGTTTAACTCGATTTGAATAGACTGCAAGTGCTCGATTCATTGCATATGGTAGTAATCGTTTTTCACCGCTAATATTGTAATGAACATCGCCATCTCTAACACCAGTATGCACTCCAACGAACCGCCCTGTTGTATCAAATATAGCACCCCCGCTGGCACCTCGTAATGAAGGACAATCATGAACGATATACATGTCTTCATTTTTCACGTATTTTCCTATTGATACAGTTCTATGGTCGGGATGCATTGCAGAATTCACGTTTTCACGTGTATATGATGAATAACCGGGACATTCTTCATAAAATTTCACATCTTTGTTTCTTCTCATTGTTGAACAGTACGACAGCAAAAATAATTGTGAATTTGGCTCAAGTTCGTCTTTCTCCGATAATCTCGGAGCACAAAACTCTTCTTTATTTTCAGAAACCAATGTATGCTTTACTTGTTCAAATCTACAAATACCCAGAATTGCAATATCATCATCCTCGGAACAGATTTCACTTGGTTGTAATCCAATACCACCAATACCACGAATGAGTATTTCAGCTTCCAACACATTTTCATTATCTGTGTTGAATAAACGATCAGACGCATACGATAAGGACGTAAATATTATACGTTTATATGGCACAAGTACATTGTCTTCTTCTGTTAACGGATTAAACACATGAGCTGCTGTGATTATATATCGACCATTGACGATTAAACCGCTTCCGCTTACATAACTTGTTATGTCGTCTTGCTGAAATTCGACACGAATTTTAATAACAAGTTTAGATAAATGTTCGAGTTGTTCTAAAGTTCTTAAATCAATATGCATATCAGAATCGATCGTCAACTCGGCCCGACCGTTGGGTGAATATGTGAATGGAATATTTTCTTTCAATTTATTTGTTTGATAATCCATAAAGGGACGTTCATATGATGTTTTATGTTTAGATCGAACTGCGCGATTATGTTTTAGGCGTTGTTGAACTTCATATTCTTCTTCTGACGACGGTTTATTACTAATATTCTATAATTAAGTAAATAAAGGATTTAATTACGAGGAAGATCTATGAGATAATAAAAGCTTATCACTAAGTGAGCTTATTTCCTGCCGGATAGCCATAAACAACCCACTTTAGGACAGAAAATTCGGTTTTTCCTTCCTATTACTTCGTTTATACAAGATTCTCAAGTTGTGCAGGTGGACTGTGTTTTGATCATTAGAAATATTTTTTCTTACTTACTAATTTTTCATTAGTGCTTTTGACTGTCTTCTCCGCTGATGCCATGATGTGGACTGTTTATCGCAATCAATGTGGACTGTTTATCTGAAAATATCAAATAAAACGAATAAGCAAATATCTAAGGAAAACAAAAGTTAAAACTACGAAAATCATTCAAAAAACTATGTTTACTCAATCAAAGTAACAAATAAATAAATAAAGAAGCAGAGCGATTCACTGTGTGTAGTCTGGGTCAATCCATATAGCTTATGTTTATTATCGATGAGAACTGTATACAGTACATCTGTAAAAAATCAGTACAAGTGTAAAACAAATGCTCTACTACATGAGCCTTATGAACACAAACGAGAGATTGCTTTTCATCGTTAAATTTAAGGTCTGAATTTACTGAAAAGGGTGTTGTCATTCGGTATAATGAAAACATCTGAATAAGAACAATATCAGTCGGGAGAAAAATCGAAAAAACCTGAAAACTTACATATTTGAGTCGAGTTTTTATGAGAATTTTTTTCAACATTTTTGTCCATTTGTTTTTTTGTCCGTACTTTTCTCGATTCAACGTTTTTTCTCACCCGATACTTTTTTTGCCATTTCTATTTTCGACCATACACATCTGAAATAGACGTCGGCGTGACTAACTTTTTAAAAATTTGGATCAGTAAATTTTGTTTTTGCTTAAAATATCTATTTTTTTGTAAAACGCAGCTTTTTGTGCCAAAAAAGTTTAATTTTTTTGGTAGACATGAAAGAATTCTTTTGAAAATACCTTACGACCACCTTTAAAAAACAATTTTGCACCAAATGAGGACGAAAAAGTTTGTGATCGGGACCACTTCAAAAATAGCCGATGTCTAATTTAACTCGGAGGGCTGAAAGTGTAAACTTCGGCAACTTTCCAATCTTCACGAAGTGTAGGTGACATTCTAGTTTTTGTTTATTGTGTTCTACTTGCTTGTTTTTTGACGAGAAAACAAACAAGGATACATGACTCGTGCAATAGTAAATAGGACTGTTTATTTCGCGTTGATTTCATTCATTACACAGAAGCAACCGGTCAACAAAATTGTGATCGGATAGATATCTCGAGTGCGGACCGGCCGTTTGCCCAAAATTTTGACCGGTACTCAGACTTTCGAAGCACTCTTTTGGGATGGTAGTTACTGAAAGAATAGCGGATTTGTCTCCTTCATTATTTGTATGTATGATCAACTACAGCATAAATCGGATGATTTTAAATTTAAACCCGCACGAGTGACTGCGAGAAAAATAGGTTTAATTCTGTGTAATGCGTTAACAAATAAAAGCAGACAGATAAAAGTGTTTACCATCATTGGTAGAAATGCCTGCATCCCTGCGTTTTTTGTATTTCCTCTCCTCTTTTCGAAAGATGAGTGTGTCGTATGGTTTATGTATTGTTAGGCGTATCTAGTACGCAGCGCTTCATTTTATTTCTCTGTTATATTTATTTATTATATTTCATTTAAAATTCCATATATATGGGTATCCTAATCCTATAAACATAGACAATCTATATTTATGTGTAAGTTCAACTATCATAGACAGTTATAAAACAGGCAGTAGTCAAAACACCTATACGAGAAAATTATGAATATTTCAAGAAGAGAATAATGAATGCAATTATTATCCTTTTTCAAGCACTACAAAACACTACTGAATATACTTTTTTTCAGTCATTGTATTTTCTACTTATAAGCTAACCGGGTCCGATAACCGTCGACCGGATTGGGCACCCGATTCGGTTGCATCTCTGCTTCATTAACGAAAGAAAAAACGACTCACTCACTGAATCTACGTACTAAAAAAAGAGTCAACACTCTTAACTTGTGCAATAAAAATCTGAGAGCATGTGCTTCGCTTAAAATATTAAGAATATAATTTATTCCCTTAGCTTTATTACTCTAGGGTCTTACAAAATGCACTGTAAATTCGTGTACTGTTTCAGTAGGTGACAGTTCACCTACCATGATGGGTAGTCACATACATACGTGGATGGCATTTTTTTATTGAGTGTGTTTTCACCCAGTAAGATTGGTGATGTACAAAACTGGGTGGTCGCTGTCAGTCAAATCAGACTTTTGCGTTCTGTATGCATAGAGAAATGGCCGATATATAATAAAGAAACAATGAACATGTTCATTATTTCTTTGTTATATATCGGTCGTTTTATTTATTTATGAGAGTTCCTTGAAACCTAGAATAACTAACGTTGGAACACCGAGTAGCTGTAGAAAGATTTGTTTCAATGAGGTGAGGTTTACTCAGGAGTTCTTCATGCTTGTTATATACTGTTGCTAAGCGCTACACTGTACAGCGCACTTCTTGAGAGATTGTTTCCTCAGCGAAATTTAAATGTAGTGGGAAAGACGGTTCATTTTTCTCTCCTTGACATTTTCAAGTCCTTTTGTGTTTACCGAAATAACATTCGTTTGTTTTTTTGCTTACAGAATATCAAAATGCATACATACATGTCTAAGCTGTTCGTTCTCATCGTTTCATTTGAAAAAATATATTGATCATCTTCAAAGTATACATGGTACCACAAAAGCAATCTATATATCTTGTTTCATATGTAATTCCACATTTACAAATATTGTTAATTACTCGTTACCAAGATTATTTACTTTTTATTGCACATTCTTCGCATCGTTATCAACTTGGCTTTATTTATCATCAACATCAATTTATACTGGGACACCATCGATTTATTCTCTCATGTCACATGGTAGACGTTTGCATCGCAACGATATTTATTCGATGAAAATTTTCTAATCAAACTTGCTGGTTATCCTTCATCTGTAAATATAACACGTCCACTATTTGAAGCAAAAATAGCTCAAGATAAATTAATTGAATACAATGATATTGAAAAAGTTACAATAATTCAAGATAATATATTTACGAAGAATTGAGCCAATAGTCTATTATATATTGATTCAACATGCTCCATTTCATAATGATTTATTATCAATGTCAATGATTGTCTATAATACATTTTTTGATAGTGGACTGTTTCATTTGCAATCACCATTGGTTACTATTGTTACCCTAAAAATGACGGTGCTCGTGTAAGCAGAATCTACTCTTATAATAATTGCTCGCTAATCTTTGTTTTTTTAGATAGCTATACGCAATAATAGATTTAATAATGTCAAATGGAGCGTGGTACCATTCTTAAGTAACCTGACACAGTTTTTGAAACTGCCGGAAGTGCAGCAAGACCTTAATTACCCATCATCAACCGATTATCCTGTTATGATGGACGTCTGCGATGGTGATTTCGCTCGGTCGCATACAGTGTTTGGAAATCAAGAGTTTCTAAAAATCGAGCTCAATTGCGGTATACCTTGCTTGTACTTATACTGTTTCTTTATCTGTTGTGTATATTTCTTTTACTGTTTTAGATGATTTGAACATTACAAACGCAGTCTCACACAAAATGCACAAAATTTTCTTTGTTTATTGGACGCTATTAAATTTGAAGCGTGACCACCGAAGTGGCCAAGTGGCAAAACGATTAATCGCTGCTTGCGATTCAAAAGCACTAAAACACGATTTATTCGATTAAGTGCTCGGTAACCTTAATAAATATAAATCAATTTCTGTCAGGAAACTTAACGGTTATTTTATTTCAGCTGATTTTGTCAATGCTATCAAGATTCTGTCTACAGATGGGATTCATGTGATGGTGGATGGTAATGAAAAGTTTTATCGTGATGCACTTTTTTTTATGATTGGTGATTACGCGGCGCAACAATCGATCCATAGAAGAAAAGAATGTGTTGCAGCGACAAGATTTTTTCCATGTTGTGACGTGAATAATAAAACCGACAAAAATCCTTTATTATTTTGGCAAACAAATGTCTTAACAATGCCACTTTTGGCAAAAATGTCAAAATTATATTTGGCTACATCTGGGACAAGTATGAGTTCAGAGTCGGCCTTCAGTCTATCTGCCTATTATGGAAGAAAAGAACGTTCTCGACTTCCATCAGAACCATTGGCATTATCAGTGTTCTTAAAGGATAAGCTTCAACAACAAGAAGACGCAACGAATTAAACAGCTTTTATCTTTTATTTACTATACTCGCTATATGTTTTATATTATATTTGTTTTAGTAAAGGCATACGAGGAACATCAGTTTTGGCTGTCCTTAGGAAAGCTCAAATTTTAGAGGGCAATTTATTAAATTCTCATTGAAGAGCGGATAAATAACGAAAATTAGTTTTTCTCTTGGTGGAAAGAGTAGTATATAACTTTTTAGTGAAGCGAAGCAGTATATCTCCTCACATGATTCGTCGTAAAGCATCCTCGATCACGCAAATCTAAATCTTTTGTCAACATTCATAGACGAAAAATAACACAGAAACGCCAAAAATAAGAAACTAAATTGACAAAATATGACTTCTTTCTTCGATATCTTGAAAACATTTTCTCCAAGCTCGAGTCAAGCCCAAGCTTTACCCAAGCCTGACTTTCCAAGCCTGAGCCCAAGCCAAGCCCAAGCCATCACTCAAGCTCAGGCTTGCCAAGCCCAATCGCTTGGGCTTGTAACATCCCTAATGGTGACGGCTTTAAATCAGTTGTCAGCGGAATATCGCTGGTATAGAGATTACGTTGGGCTGCACCACGAGATGGCCGAAAGAATCAATAAGTTACCTGCCGAACTTGTTCGGGAATGGGTTACTTCTACTCTCTCTGATTTGTACTCAGCTGCGACTAGAGAAAAGATTTTCGGTCTGTGTCATGTTTTAACAGAAGCGGCTTGCAGATACAGCGTCGACGAAGACCCAGGTCCGATTTGGAAAACGACGACAAAGTCGAGATAAAACACAAGCAGATAACAATGATGTCCTGGGCAAACCCGCAATGCTACGAAATGTTCACAAAACATCTAGAATATGACAGCGAGGACTGGGAGTACGCAATCGATTCCCTCTTAATGGTTATCGCCTCTGCAAATTCACGGAATGTGTTCACGGATCCTGACAGTCTCAGAGAAGACTTCATGGCAAATCCTGCACTACTGGAAAAGTGCCATCCGCTGATGATGGTAGTGATTATTTTAGTCTTACCCCTGTTCTTCGAAAATACTTATCGATCGCTAACATTAGTCCGCTTCGAGAAGAGCTCAGTCTGTTTTTGAAACAAGTTCAACCGAATGACACTTCACTGAAAGTTGTAGACACGTTCATTGCTATATTTTGTCTCGAAGGCGTACAAAATCCGTCGTTCCACGAACAGTTTCTCACGTATCCCGCATATAAAGCCGCTGTCCGAAGATTCAAGCGCATTATCGTGTATCTTCGTCAGTTTTACTTCGTGTATGTGGATCTAGATATGAGTGGGGCTTCGGTGTACGACGATGATTGAACAGGAGGACTTCGACATCGATCTGCAACAGATTGTCAGTGAGCTGTTGAATCATTTGCAGTCTTCGTCGGGGTTAGAGATAGTGGCGGAGCCAGGAGTTTGATCTAGAGGGGGCTCAGCCCAGAAATTTTCTAAACTTCGCCAGAGATAAACTCATTTAAATTTAATGCTCGAAATCTATGAATTTTTGAGTGGGGGCTCAGAAAATTTTAGAGGGGGCTTAGCCCTCTCTCGCCCATAGCTGGCTCCGCCACTACTTAGAGACTACAGACCTTTTATACTGCCTACAAGCGGCAGCATCGGCCCGGACACATCTCTGCACAACACTCCAGTCATTTCTAAATCCTGGCGGAACCTACGAAACTAATCACATCGAAATGAATCTTCCTACCGTATTTTCTGAGCAGGCGTTCGTCACTAACTTGGTTTTCTGGTCCTCGAACGAAGGTTCTGATAATTTGCCGTATTTCGTTCGAGTACTTTGGACTTTTGCAGACAAAAGCTTCGACTCATTTATATCGGCGGAGGGTTCGTTCAAGAAAGATAGCATTCACACAGATTTTATGTTTTACAAACACGACGAGTATCCCAGTTACGCGATGGTCTTTGTCTCCGAATATTTTCTTCCACTGTACGACTCTCTGAGAGAGTCACATCAAATGGCATGTACGAAAGAAGACATGGAACGCCACTCGAGCCAACTACCATTTTCACTCACGTGCTCTTTCAATGCATGCTAAACTTATTGACTCCGTCTTCTTATGGGAAGCAAGAAATTCTGAAATACTGTTTACATGCATTAACGCCCGTTTTCGATTCTTATGAGTTGCAGAGCGTTCGAATCGCAGTGTCTTTGAAGTTGGAGATACGGATGACGGCTGCCCGTAGCATGGTAGGTGCCGATCCATTAGACGAAATGAGAAAGGCAGCGTTTCAGAGCGTGGAGAGAGAATGTGAAGCTGTTAGGAGCTTTTGCAACAGCCCTGGTCAGGGCTGGCAACAGACAGTCGACTATAGTCTGTACGCATCGGCTGTGTCTCTAGGCTTCCTTTACTCCGCACTAAGCCTAGATGATCCACTTTTGATATCTGATCTGTCGAAAATGATACACAGGATTCAAAATCCGATCTTAAAGCTCGATGCTCTTATGATTCTCGCACAAAATTCACTGCAAAATAATACATATTCGTTTATTGAAAAATTTCTACAAGAACAAATAATTGACAACGTCCGTGATTTACCGAGAGATAAATCGCCGCTGATTAGCTGCTTATTGGTTGTACGAAGCTTGATGGTATTCGACAGTACAACAGGTACAACAAAAAGAGCTCTTCTTCTTGAAGTTCTGAACTACCTAGACCTGTTTCCTGATGACAAACAGAAGGGAGCGCTGTTAACCTCGGTTCTTGGCATTCAGATGGCGACGTACACTTCTTGTTCATCGCTCTCTTTGTTGAAGCACCGTTCGAATTTAAGGTGTTTGCCTTATTTTAAAAGCTGTGCGCTGCAGAGAGTCTGTGACCAACGCGTTACTCCTACATTCTGCCTCTCGAACTACAAGTCAAATGAGTCGATTCCAGTTTTATTTCACTCAATGTGTCTAGCCGAATTATCGCATGACATCCAGGTCATACAAGCGTTTTCCGGGAAAGTTGACACATCGCAGTTGTTCGATGATATGCCCGGTGTGCTTACTTACTCAAGAGCAACTGTGATTGATGAAATTCTGCACGCAGTCAGACAAGGACCGTTACTGTCAGAAAAATAACCATAGTAACCCTTCTTTTCTCAAGCGCATAACTTTCTTGACTATCTTACTTGACATACAAAATGTTGATCGAAAGGTTGATTATTTCTACATTATGTTCTTTTGCAGAAAAGTAACATAATCATGAAGTTGTCTGAGAGTGTTAACCTGAATCGAATGGAATATTTCTCGCGAAACATGGGAATAATTGACTTTATTATGCTCATAATGAGATGAAGTCGTCGATATGCTTCTTTTCGTTTACGAAAAGAAAGAACAAAAGTAATGTCATCTGTTTTAACATCTCAATTTCACATCTGCTCTGATGGATTAAAACTTAAGTTCTGAGAAAACAATAGACATTTCAAGCACGAATAAAAGACCGTGAGCCGCCCAACTTTCGACGTTTCTCGTGTTTCTGAGTGCGTTTCTTGTACCTTGGGTGCGGTTCTTAGTGGCTTAAAGAAAATAACCATAGTAACGCTTTTTTCTCAAGTAGATAACTTTCTTGGCTATCTTATTGAAGAAAGTCACGACTTGTAGACATTTCTTGCTAATGAAATGCGCAGGTCTTTTGCCTGATGTGCTTCACTTGCTTGACTCGAGAAGTTCATCCGGTTGAGTTTCTTGATATCAAGTCATGGGGGAAAAGTGGACTTTGGGAGTCTACAGGAGTTCTGGGGATCCACAGAGATCCATGGAGTCCACATGAATCCAAGTAATTGGGAGACTATGTGTAACTGTTAAACTTTTTTTAGATTTCGCTAATTCTTATTTGTACCATAAAAATAACAACTGAGAATGTATTTATTTCCAGAGAAAAACAGAAAAAAAGATGAACTACTTTTATTCTTTTTTTGCTTTGCTTCAATTACTCGTGATAATCTATCTGCTGATATGCGATCATTTTCGTCTGTTACTTTAAACTAACGAGGGAACCTTTCCAGGTGATTAAACGCTTTTTGCTCGGAATCTAGTGGGTTATAGGTTATCGACTATGCTAATTACGAATATGACCATAAAGGTTGCCCTTAGCCCATCGAAGACCTGGTTTTCTAGAAAACTGGTTTTTCAGAAACTCTAAAATATAATCCTAACCTTTCTTAACGATGCATGATTGTAGCCCGCACATTTTTGATTGAAATGAGACATCTCCCAGCTTTATATATGGCACAAGTACATTGTCTTCTTCTGTTAACGGATTAAACACATGAGCTGCTGTGATTATATATCGACCATTGACGATTAAACCGCTTCCGCTTACATAACTTGTTATGTCGTCTTGCTGAAATTCGACACGAATTTTAATAACAAGTTTAGATAAATGTTCGAGTTGTTCTAAAGTTCTTAAATCAATATGCATATCAGAATCGATCGTCAACTCGGCCCGACCGTTGGGTGAATATGTGAATGGAATATTTTCTTTCAATTTATTTGTTTGATAATCCATAAAGGGACGTTCATATGATGTTTTATGTTTAGATCGAACTGCGCGATTATGTTTTAGGCGTTGTTGAACTTCATATTCTTCTTCTGACGACGGTTTATTACTAATATTCTATAATTAAGTAAATAAAGGATTTAATTACGAGGAAGATCTATGAGATAATAAAAGCTTATCACTAAGTGAGCTTATTTCCTGCCGGATAGCCGTATACAACCCGTGGCTATTTTTGGATAACTCCAGAATGAAGAAGTTTAGAGACCTGCAGCTTTCAGCATTTTGTGGAGGAGACTTTACTGCATCTTTTGATATATGGGGATTTTGAGAAGTCGGAGGCGGTGTATCTGGTATATGAAAATAGAAGAGGTTGCCAGATACCGAAGCCAAAGTCAACCTAGGACCTATCTATCTCAGTTCGATTAGGTTTCATAACATTAGAATCATTTCCGAACATAGGTTGTCGGGTATGCTAAATCTCATGGCAATGTTAGTTTTCAAAATAAGACGAAGGAACCGAGTGAAAACTTATGCCAGGTAAAATAATCCATTTTTGACTATTTTCATCAAAAATTAAAACTCATAACTCGGTCAAAAACCATTCGAACTACTTCAGAATATCAGTTATATACTCTATTTTATCTGTAGTGTACTGTAAAGCTCAATAAATGTTTAAAAACCAACAGAAAACACTTTGGTTTTTGAAAGGCTTTCCAGAAACCTTCGGAACTAACAGAATCCTTTTTAGTAATCTTAAGTACAGAATCACAGTGGATAAAACAAATAAGGAAAATGAAAGAAAATAAATAAAGAATAAAAGAGCAATTAAATCGAAAAAATCTACTACTGCACTGACCCGCAAAAAACAATTTTTCCAAATCTCTGTTTTCAAATTTCACTCTGATTTCGATAAAGTTGAGTTGACAACTCTTAAATCAGTATCTCCCACTAGTATAACTATAATTAGCACAGGAACATGAATAGAAGAATAGATGACTGTAAACGCCACGTATGAATGCAGAGTTCAGTCAGTTGGAGGCATTTAATAAGTGTTTTACAACAAACAGTGATTAAGTGTTTTGTTTTTTAATGCTTCAAGAAAGAAATAGCAGATTATCGTTGATCAAAACAATCAGTTTCAATCAAATCAAGAGAATATTAGACGAACTAATGGGCAAACTTTTCAAACAGATTTTTAGAATTATAACAGCCGGATAAAATGAGATCATTTTTTTTATTCACGGTATTTCGACCTTAACCGATCATTATCAAGTAATACAAACTGGGAAAGATGAAAAATTTTATCTAAAAGACAATAAAAAACTGAATTATAACTGTTCATATTCTTTAATGTTATTTCCATTCGACAAGTCATCGACTGAATTTAGTAAATACAGGATAGAAAGTTGTACACTGGAGAATGGACTATACATGAACGAATACGAAAATGTTGATATATTTTTCCCGATTATCTTTATTTTCCTTTCCTTTTATCCGGAAAGTGCCGACCGCGTAACACTCAGGAGTAAAATTGATTTCTTTACATCATCCGGATATACGATACGTATAGTGGGATGGATCAGTACCATTTAGGATCGGTTTTGTAGCACTAATTTCTATCGATTCCCTAATTAAGAGTTTATATTTGTGTTTTTCCTTGAATAAAATTCTAAAATTATCCCTACTAATTCATGTTCTTTTTTCACGAAATGCCGACCGACTACTGACTTCAGGGCAAACGTTGAGTAGCATAATGTTGAGCAGATGTTCATTGATGGATCTTGATCAATAATACTGACTGACGTAGATCTTTTTGATATTGAGCGTGTCATAGGTCCTGAGTAAATTTAAGAGGGAGAAAACTGATCTGAGGATTTTGAAGATTTCAAAACATTTGGAGAGATTTTAGAGATTCAAATCAGTTTTGATTTGAAGAGTTGAAAGATTTGGATTGATCCGAATCAGTTTTCACCCCCTTGAGTAAATTACACACAACTTCCTATTTTTATCCGATACTGTTGACTTTTTCTGGTACTTCGGTTTTTGACGTTACCAGCCGATTTACTTAATTCAATCGATGACTTGTCGAATGGAAATAACATTGAAGAGTACGAACAGTTATAATTCAGTTTTTTACTGTGTCTTTTAGATAAAATTTTTCATCTTTCCCAGTTTGTATTACTTGATAATGACCGGTTAAGGTCGAAATACCGTAAATGAAAAAAAATGATCTCATTTTATTCCGCTGCTATAATTCTAAAAATCAAGAAAAAGCACAAGGACAAGAAACACCTAAATCTGAGACGTTGTCCTACGCAAATCCGGTAATATTTACTTTCTAGAAACTGAATTTCTATTCAAATATAAATATAAAATAACATTTATCAACAATGACGAATAGACAAGATAAAAAATAAAAACGTATTAAAAATATACATTATTTTTAGAAACATTTTCGATGAACAATCGATGGTCCACTTTCATCATATTCTTGTTTTGATATCCACATTTGCTGAAATGTTGATAATGATGCCAAGATACTTCCACCAATCCATACAGAATATTTTCGTTCGGGTGGTGCGATGATTTTTATTTTCATTGCTGATGGTGCCAAGGATGTTATTTCTTTTTGCATTCGATCAGCGATGCCGGGATACATTGTTGTACCTAAAGAGAACAATGTGATATCTTTCCCTCTGTGAAAAAGACAAAATACGTACCCCCAGATAAAACTGTGCTGGCATATAAATCTTTTCGAATATCAAAATCTAATGCAACATAGCACAATTTTTCTTTGATATCACGTACAATTTCCCGCTCAGCTGTTGTTACAAATGAATAGCCACGTTCAGTTAAGATTTTCATCAAATAATCGGTCAAATCACGACCAGCCAAATCCAGGCGAAGAATGGCATGTGGCAATGCATAACCCTGCGATAAAAAAGAAGAGTGCTATGGTTTTGTTTGTTTAAAAGAATTCACATACTTCGTAAATCGGAACTGTATGTGTCTCACCGTCACCACTATCCATTACAATACCGGTTGTTCGACCACTTGCATACAAAGATAAAACAGCTTGAATGGCAACGTACATGGCTAAAAATAAGACAAAAACAATTAGTTTTATCCATCAATTCATTATTCTTTTCTCTGTATTGGCATACCAGGTGTACTGAATGTTTCGAACATAATTTGTGTCATTTTTTCACGATTTGCTTTCGAATTCAACGGTGCTTCTGTTAACAGAACGGGATGTTCTTCGGGTGCCACACGTAATTCATTATAAAAAGTATGATGCCAAATTTTTTCCATATCATCCCAGTTAGTAACGATTCCGTGTTCAATTGGATATTTCAACGTTAGAATACCACGTTTCGACTGCGCTTCATCACCGACGTATGAGTCTTTTTCACCCATTCCAACCATTACACCCTGATGACGTGGACGACCAACAATTGATGGAAAAACTGCGCGTGGTGCATCATCACCGGCAAAACCAGCTTTACACATTCCTAAACATAATAACATGGTGAGAACGACCAAAATAAAGTCCTAGAAAGAATGAAAGTGTTTCTACAAGCGCTAAATTACAGTAGAACAAATAATTCGGAAGAAAATAAATTCTGGTTAATTTGTTAATCTCAAAAGCAATCTCTTTTATGCTAACCTGAACCATTATCAATTACTAAAGCATTAACATCGTGTTCAGACGTTCTTTAAATGATAATTTAATGTAGAAAGTAAAATGTTTTGTCGATTAAGTTGTTCGAAGATGTTGTTTGTGTTCTTATGTTCGTACGTTTTATTGTGTCGGTATCTATTTATGAGACGAAAAACAGGAGTATTTTCTTCACTTTTTCCTTTTCTTTGCTTAAAAAGTTTTGTTTATTTTGCCATATATAGGCATGAATTTATCAGTGTCAAAGAGCGAATCACTGAAATTATCATACCAATGGCAAACAATGTTTATATGAGTCATACATCTGATTAGCAAAGAAATTGGGTACCTGCGTGTATTAGTAAGTCAACATTGCTATTCGACAAGAAAAATGCTTCTCGAAATACTTGTCGAGTACACAGACATTAGAGAACCATATCCTGGTCGTCTGATATTTTTTGTTCTTATAGAACAGTTGTTTTACTGCAATAACAGGTCTCTTTTCTATTTTTGAAAGTGAAGTGCAAAAAATTCCAAAGCGAGAGAATACACACGGAAACAGAGAACGTGAGGCGTGTTTGAATGACAAAGACAAAGAGTTTTTCGTTTTATTCTAACTTTAGTTACAAATAAGTATTCGGTTCGGTTTAGTTGCAGAAAAACAACAACCGATTCCATCTTCAGAACCTATGGTTTTAGTTTATCTTTTATTACATGTATGGAATAAAAATAAAGTTGGTTGAAAAAACTTTTCAACTCGGTTGTATAAATGAAAAATAGCTTCGAATTTTCAATCTCTTCCTTCAGTTTGTATAACTAACATCCTGATCTTCACCGACAGGCCGTGTAGTCTTAAACTATAGTCTTGAATTTCACCAAATCAATCAGTCATTCTGTGAAGCTAATTTACAGAAAAGTTGGCCCGAACAAACAAAGACACCAGCGGCTCACTCACTGAATTTTTGCATATGGAATGATGGCTGTAGTTTAAGTACTTTTCAGAATAAAAACGTGTCAGAACTCACTAGCTTCAGTTGATGTTAATGCCGGTTCACTTCCTTTCTTTTTTACTTTCAATTCCATGTAGGAAGTGGAACAGGAAATGACTGGAACTGAAACTAGTACATCCTTCCATTCTCTTGAGCTTGATTTCCGGATACGTTTAGACTTTCACGAAGTATGTAACGATAAATGAATTAACTTCAATGGTGAAAGAAGGTAAGTGAGCATACTGCATCGCTGTCGATTACAACATGTAGTACATCCGTTTCTTGCTTCAGTAATCCGAAAACATAAGCGATTATTGTACAATGCGAGTTTCGTCAATAAAAAGGAGCTTCAGCTACATCCATCTATATATATGGTGAATTTGGCTTTGGGATGGGAAACACGGTATGGCTTAGCGAGAATATATGGAACTTGTAATTCAGAGATAAGAGACAAGCGAAACCGCTGAGAAAATTGCAATGCGAACCACGATAGCTAGATTAGAATCACACAAGTACATTAAGACAATGAGAAACAGTGGCTACAGCAGAGTACCGGAGTTACAATGTTTTATTGTTCGTCGTAGTATGAATCTAGAATGCTTCGAACTGATCTTTCTATCGAAGTTATAATACAAACCTATTGGTGTGGGCTGACATGCTTTCATGTTGTCATCAAAATGATTCCTCTGACATTCTATGTGGTCATAATGATGTGACGGACTAAAATAATAGATGGCCAAAAAACTTTACTTTAAGAATCTTTGTTCTTTGAAGTAAAAATTCGAAAATATTTCTACTGAAGCGTGGGTTTGAGCCTGCACCTCATGAGTCCCGTGTGTTATTTCCGGTATATTTCGATAAAAAAATTGCACTATTCTGAGTCACATAAAATACTAAACGAAATCACCAACTTATATTTAACTTCTTATTGATCTTTTTCAATGCTGTCAAGCTTTTCTCTTGGACTCCAGTGAAACAGAAATTCAAGTAGAGTATCGTGCCAAATAAGAGATGCCAATAGTAGATCAATAGTGAAACAATTTATCTCACCGTGTTCTTTCACAATGCATCAGTCAGACATGGAGCGCCCCTGCACAGCCCCTTCCGTTTTCTATAGAGCAGGTGGAAATTAAGTTTTTGTTGCACCGCTTAGTGCAAAAATAGTTTTATATAGGTTATCGACCACGCTGAATCTAGTGGAACAGTCCGAATCACACTAGGTGTTTTCGCAAAGAAATGGATTTTCCGAAAAACCGTGTTTTCCATTATTTTCCTAAGCGATCAAGGAAAAATATGAACAAAAGATTATCTGGATTGTTGATTCTGAATATGACCATGAAAATATCAGGAAGTTCATTGATCAAACCTGAAATTTGCGAAAAAACCGCAACCCGTCTTGTAGCCCGTCTTTATATATGCTGCTGTTGCCGGTTCCTAACGGCCGATTAAATTGCATATAGATTTCTTGAAGTCTGTTCGAAAGCCATGTGATGCCAAGTTCACGAAAAAGAATGAGGCGTGTGGTATCCACACGCACATGCGAAAAAATGTAAAGATAAAATTATCAATTGTTTGATGGAGAGGATCTTTCGGTATAACAACTTGTGTATAGGCGAGATAGATCGCCAGCGGTAGACGAAAACTAATATAGCTAACAGTTTGAAGGAATGTTATGGTGATTAACTGACGATCAAGCGAACGCACTTGATTCACAGCTCTTCTTTTTGCACGGCGAATATTGGTTATTGTGCGTAAACTAAAAGCAAACATACATATCGGCGGAAGAAAGCTGTCCGCAATGAGAGTGAAATATGTAAAAATAACTCTATATGCACCCGGCTGGGTGACGCATGATCTGGAATTATCTCGATTGATTATTATAATATTATATTGTATAAACGGAAATTCTTTGGCTAAAACCAATGTAAATGCTAATGTCGCTTTTCTTAAGTTTGTGAGGTTAATCGACCGTGTAGAAGACACAGCTCGCAGAATAACGGAATACAGTTTCATTAAAGTGCCGATATTTTCTTGGTGGTGCGATACTACACACTCAATGACTTTTTCACGTAACTGGAAACTAAAAAACCGCCGGCCTTGCTGACTCGTTGTCGACGTTCCACTTGAATCCACGCCATCACATTGGTCCAATTTAAACTAGTGTTTCCTTGAAGTTTTTTTCAGAAAAATTTCTTTCGCGTTTTTAAGTTTCTTTTGATTTTCTTCACCTCTGACAGACCAAGGCGAAATTCCGGCATTTAAACGGTAAATGATATTTAAAAACCATGTGGTGCCGTTAATCCATTGATGTGTTAGGGTGATAAAATGATGATCACTCTGGGAAATAGGTTCACTTGTTAAACCAGCACGGCGTTCGCAGTCGCTACGCTTCTTAATGATTTTTCCATCTTCACCCAGCAGGCTTCGGTACAATTCCATGATGTTGGCCGCTGTTCGAGTTATGCTGAAATAATTAGAAGCAAGCAATTTCTGCCGATCGTGCCACTCAGCTTGACGTGTGTAACACATAAGACAATCAGAACCACCCAAACCACTCTCGGTAGTACGGACTTTGAGGTCTTTCATTGAGTCTATCGTACTCACTTCGATTTCATAATTTACTCCGTTTACAGTTAGGTTAATGCCTTCTTTTTCTAGAGCTTTATCTTGCGGCTCGAACAAGTCATTGACGTATTTGAGCAGATCCGGAGACTCTTTCTCAGCTGTAATAAGCAACGGTCGTGGCCAGAAAGAACTATTCGGTGTTTCAATATGCCAAACACTTGCATGTGTTACATCATCGGTCAAAGAGAGCGGCACAAGCGTTCGACAGAATAAGTTGAGATCGAGCATAGGGTTATCTTTCGCTCTATATACGGGCTGACTGCCAGCACCATCATGATCGGTTTTTTGCTTGTAAACTAACTTTGTTGGTAAGTTATCGCCTTGTTTGATCAATGATTCGAAAAGTCTTGTGATTGTTAATTTGGCAACTTGTCTTACATTTTCAACTACAACACCTTTGTTCTCTCTACACGGTTTTAAAGTTGGCAGCAGCGGTCTTGTGTAGTCGCAGATACTGGTCTTGCCTGGTATATGGAGATTATCCTGTAAAAACACTTTAATGGAACTCATATCACTTCTGCTAAGGTTGATTTGTGTTTTCAATGCAACGGTTCAATCAAGATCGAGTTTTTCCGGAGCCGGTTCCTGGAGATCATCTGTTCTGTACAGTTCATCTCCGATTTTGGCTAAGTACTTGTTCGTACTGTAATTACGATTGTACAACACATAACCAATTAATTTATTTATACTTACGTTCTTATTCTTAGCAAAATCATCTAAGATAGAATTTATATCTACCAGACGATTTCGCTTTTGTCTCGATCCAACTTCGCTAAAATCGCGTGGCTTTCTCTGTGGAGGTTTTGGTCTTGGATTTTCTACTTTAGCATCGGGTGAATCATTTTTCTATATTACCATTTGTTGAAAGCTTTCTTTGTTTGAAGAATGACAATGGTGTTTCATCCATTCCATCAATTTCGTTTTACATACGCTACGTTTCGTTTTTATAGGATCATTTCGAATTTTATATTCGATCACTGTTCTATTGTTATCAGTAGGCTCGACTTTCAGAAACCCACATGTTTTTGAAATTATATCCGGGATGCTTTCATTGGCTTCACGGTAAAATGTAAAAAGTTGATGCAAACTTACTTCCATGGTACTTTGAGAATTTGAATCGAGTAATTTGTTAGACGAACATTGAGAAATATTAGTATTGGAGGCATAAGATTCCTCCATGTTATTAAACACTTAGAAAGAAAATTGAAATGTTTTCTTCGTCGATTTTTAAAATGAGGATTTATCAAAGATTATTATTCTACATTCTTTGCTTATATGTTTCTGACAACCTGGAGGAGAGGAAACAGAAAAAAAATTGAAATCTATTTTCTTCAAAGAGAGAGGGAGAGAAAACAACAAAAACAGTTTTCTATTATCTCACATGATTCTCTTTTCTAGAATGTTCTTAGGGAGAGAAAGATAGAATGATTAGTATTAGAACGCATCCTCAGTCATGTTTAATAAAAATGTGCGTAAATAAAAAATAGAACTGCGTGTGAAGAAACAGAAATGAATGAGAACCCTTCAAAGGCTTGGCTGAAAACGTTCAAAATTTTTCTCTTCGCTCAACAAAATAGTATTATAGTTTACTAGATGCAGGTTTTCGCAATCATTCTGAATATGTATACATTATATAAAAAAAGATGATTTTAGGATGCAAAAAGCGTGTTTTTATCTGAAAAACCGAGGGATTTTCAAAACTCTCCCAAGTATTGCAGTTCGGTTTTGGCGGCTATTGGCTAATATCATAAGTGTAGGGGGTCATAAGGTTCATTTTAAGGAAAAAATAAAGGTTCTGCGAACTCCGCCAACTTGCGGCAGCTCTTTGTACTGAGATCACATTTTGAGAAAATCAGTTTTTTAGAAAAACGTTAAGGTTTTTATTGAGTGAAATGCGTGATGGGAAAGATTTTTGATAGTGGTAGACAGTCCAAATTCTGCTCATTCCGAACATGTTCTTAGGTTGGAGTTTAATCAAAATCTACGAGAAGAAAACTGCAACTCCAAAACTGTTTTTCGAGTTCAGGCCAGTCCATGATCTTGAAAGTTTGAGTCCAGTCCGAGTCCATGAGCTTAAAAACGTTTCAGTGCAGTCCAGTCGATGCGGAGATCTGGTAGAATCATAATAACTTATTGAAATAAAAAGAAATATGTGCAAAAGTCTTCATCTGAGTAAGGTTTCGACATCTTGCGCACATTTATGGGCATTTTCCTAGGATCTACACTATCGGCTAAACTTCATGTTTGGGAACTTTCAAAACACATGGAACGTAGGTTATCGATCACGCTGAATCTTATGACAATGTTTGTTTTTCGAGAAAGCTTGAAAAACTAGTGAACTTCTATTCTAACACCATGAACTTCTATAGTAGTTTTAAAAACTAAGAGAAAGTACTGCTGTTTTTGAGTAGCGCTGAATCTTATGACAATGTTTGTAAAAAGTCTAAGGAAAACCTTTACTCGACCAAAAATAATGCAGTTTTAGTGTTTTCACCGAAAATTAAAGAATTCATAATTCAGTCAAAATTGATCCAAACTGCTGCAAAATATCAAGATATACTTCATTTTATGTGCTTAACCGTATTTTGTAGTAAAAATTAGTGCGAAACATTCTCTTAATCCCAAACCTTGTACAAAAAATTTTCAGAAACAGTAGTACTTTCTGTTGGTTTTATAACTATTATAGAAGTTCATCGTGTTAGAATAGAAGTTAACTAGTTTTTCAAGCTTTTTCGAAAAACAAACGTTGTCATAAGGTTCAGCGTGATCTGGAAATGTTTTCCCATATGGGGAAATGCCCATAAAGGGTGGCCCAGAAGTCCTGACCCGATTTGAATAATAAATTTTTCAATAGTGAAACAAGTGGTTGTAAATTTGTCTATATGAAGAAACGATGTAGTAAAAAACGCTCTACAAGATGACTATTGATTGACCTCGTTAGCTCTTCTAATAAGAAAGTTATAGGCTTAGAAATGTGCTTTACAAAAAAGAAAAATCAACCGTGAACCGGTTAATTTGAAGATGCTCCTCTCCAGTTTTTATGACAGTCTGAAGTACACAAGTTGTACTATATGCCGACCTGTTTTTTAGAAAAGGGTGCAGTCTGGTTTTTGAGATTCAGAGCTACCCATATTGGAGCTGAACATGGGACGAAAATGTTCGATGCTCAATGCTTAACAGCCCAAAAAATTCAATCACTCATGTTGTATACATACGTCACTTGGACTCAAAGGGTTAACCATATTCTAGTTCGTTTTACTTTAGGTTGTAAAGTTGACGTAATAAACGATAATTCCATAGTGAGTTCTGTCAACTTATATGCATAATACTATT